ACATTCATATACCACAACTTGTTCAGCTATTCCCCAATTGATGGGCATTCCCTCAATTTCCAATTCTTTGTCACCACAAAAAGAGCTGCTATAAATATTTTTGTACATGTGGGTCCTTTTCCCATTTGTATGATCAAGTGAGGATTTTTTTTTACGGACAAGGGACACCTAGGCATGTTTATAGATAGTAGAGAAACAGCCAGTAGACAGGGAGACATTCAAGATAAGTGAGAAAGTGAAGATAATAGAAGAGGATATTTGTTGGAGAACATGGAATGGAATGAGATCACTTGTGTGTGTGTAGAAGTTTGCCTTGGCAAGGAGAAAAGCCATCTCATTATGTGAAACAAGGATGAAGGAGAGATCTCTCAGTGAATAGCCTCATTTTTTTTTTTTCAGTAAAATATGTATTAAGGTTTTCAGCTGAGGGGCAGCTAGGTGGCGCAATGGATAGCGCACCGGCCCTGGATTCAGGAGGACCTGAGTTCAAATGTGACCTCAGACACATAACATTTACTAGCTGTGTGACTCTAGGCAAGTCACTTACCTCTAACCCCCCCCAAAAAAAAGAGGTTTTCAGCTGAGAGAGTAGAGGGGGAGCCAAGGGACTGACAGACTTTAGTAAGTTAGAAGAAAAAAAAACCCAACACACTAAGGAAAAGGGGAAAAAACCTCACCATGAATGAAAGGAAGCCTCTGCTCTGGTTGATAGTTGATTTTTTAAAGAGTCCCTCAACTGCCTTAGCAGGAAGAAATATCCTGAGCGATTAAAGTGAAACTGACAGACTGGCACTAAAAAATGCACTAAAAGGAATAAAGTTCCTCAATTTGAGGGGAAAAAAACCTCAACCTTCACTCAAGCTGACAGATGATTTAATATTAAAAAAAAAGAAGATTGTGGAACAAATGGACCTTGTTCTCTCTTTTTCCCTCAAGGAAAAAGTCTCAACTAGGTCTCTCACATAAAAGGAGAACATCCTCAGATCTAAATGAGGATTAAAGAAAAGGCCTATCCTCTCCCCTCGTCCAAAAGAAAGGGCCTCAACAAAGGCTCATCACATGAGAGAACTAGTATCCACCTCGAAGTAAAAGGCCTAAAGAAAGACCACCAGGGTAAAGGAAAAGTCATCAATTTGATTTGATCCATAGAGTAAGAGAGAGAGACCTAACATTCTATTCCTGAGGCCTATTAACAAATGTGAATAAACAAAAAAAGGACTTTTTTGATCTCAGGGATGACCAAGACACAAACCCAGAAGAGGATAATAATCTCAAAAAGCCTATAATCAGAACCTCACAGAAAAAAAAAAGCATTTTGCCCACTAGAGCACTTAGAATTTTTCTTTCTTTTTTTTTTTAGCAATTTTTTTATTTTTTAATTTGAAAAAAATTTAGTTTTAGTTTTCAACATTCACTTCCATAAGCTTCTGAGTTTTAAATTTTCTCCCCCTCCCTCTCCAAGATGGTGTGCAATCTGATATAGGTTCTACTTACACATTCCTATTAAACATATTTTCACATTAGTCATATTGCAAAGAAGAATTAGAACCAATAGGAGAAGCCACAAGAAAGAAGAAACAAAATGAAACAGAAGAAAAAAAATAGTAGATAATATGCTTCCATCTTCATTCAGACTCCATAGTTCTTCTCTGGATGTGGATAGCATTTTCCAACATGAGACTTTTGGAGATGTCTTAGATCCTTGCATTGTTGAGAAGAGCTAAGTCTATCAAAGTTAATCATTGCACAACATGGCTATTACTATGTACAATGTTCTCCTGGTTCTGCTCACTTCACTCAGCAACAGTTAATATAAGTCTTTCCAGGTTTTTCTGAAGTCTGCCTGCTCATCATTTCTTTTAGCACAATAGTATTCATTACATTCATATACCACAACTTATTTAGCCATTTCCCAATTGATGGGCATCTGCTCAATTTCCAATTCTTTGCAACCACAGAAAGAACTGCTATAAACATTTTTGAACATGTGGGTCCTTTTCCCATTTCTATGATCTCTTTGGATTACAGACCTAGAAGTAGTATTGCTGTGTCAAAGGGTATGCACATTTTTATAGCCCTTTGGGCATAGTTCCAAATTGCTCTCCAAAATGACTGGATCATTTCACACCAACAAAGCATTAATGTTCCAATTTTCCCACATCTTCTCTAATACTTGTCATTTTCCTCACTTAAAATTTTTCAAAGAATCATGCAAGAATTTAAAAATATATTATAAGAAATAAGAGTTATGGAGCAGAGAATTGAAAAACTGATCAAAAGTTTAACAGAAGATGACCACAATCTTACCCTAGAAACAAACTTCCTAAAAATGAGAATGAACCAAATGGAAATTAATGACTCCAAGAGACAGTAAGAATTCTTAAAAAAGTCAAAAGAATGAGAAAATAGAAGAAAATATAAGATATCTCCTACCAAAAACAACTGACTTGGCCAAAAGATCAAGGAGATATTACTTAAGAATCACAGGATTACCTGGATATTATATTTTTAAAAAACATATTGAAGAAAATTGCCCAGGTCCTCTCCTGGGCTCTCTCCATCCTTCCCCTCCCCTTCTTTTCCTTTACCTTCTTTCTTCTCTATACTCTCTCCTTTGGTGACCTCATCAACTCCTATGGGTTCAATTACCATCTCTATACAGATGACACCTATCTCTTTATATTCAATCCCTTTCTCTCTCCTGAGTTACAGTCATACATCACCAGCTACCTACCGAACACAACAAACATATCACATAGGCAGCTAGGTGGTATAGTAGATAACTTACTGGGCCTGGAGTCAGGAAGATGTGAGTTCAGATCTGGTCTCAGACACTTACTAACTGTGTGACTCTGTTTAACTCAACTGTAAAATGGGGATAATAACATATATTACAGTTGTTGTAAGGACCAAATGAAGTAATATTTGTAAAAAGTGTTTAGCACAGTGCCTGGAATATAGATGCTATATAAATGATTATTCCCTTCTTCCCCCTCCTCCCTATATGTACAATACTTCCCCTCAAACTTTCCCCTCTTCTAAACTTCAATATTACTGTAGAGGACCATTGTTATTTCAGTTTTCATGGTTTTACATCCTAAGCATCATCTTTGACTCCTTATTTCACATACAAAATCACTTGCTAAATCTCACCATTTCTATGGTATTTCTGCCTTCATAGTATCTCTCTCATCTGTTCCCTTCTCATTACTTATACAACATTGCCTCAGCTTAGGCTCTCATCGCCTAGGCAATGGCCTCCCTTAATTGATCCCCCGCCTTATTCCATCCTCATTCTAATATATCTCCCACCCAGCTGCCAATACTGATTTTCTTAAAGTGGAGGTTGGACTATAATACTCCCTTGGGACTCAATAAAATTTGAAATTTTCCTATTGTCTCTAGGATAACATATAAATGCCTCTGTCTTTAAAAGTCCTTTTCAAGGCTACTCCAACCTATCTTTCAAGGCTTATTATATATTATTCCCTTACCTGAACTCTGCTATGTAAACAAATTCCCTTTCTTGCTGTTCTACAAACATGACTATTATCACCTGTTGATGTACCTTCATTTAAGTTTCTACATGAAGCCTTTTCTGATCCCTTCCTCCCTATGCAATCTATACTTATTTTGCATTTATTCTACATAGAGGCAATATAGATGGAGAATCTCCTAAACTGAAAAAAAAAGCATCAAAATTGCTGGCTCTGCAAAGACAAATTTATTTATAATACATCAGCTATAAGAAAGACCACAGCAGAAATCCCCTTAAATCACCACCACAACTGTTGACTTTCCAATTCTGGAAATGCAGTCCCACCATACAACTTTTAGGATAACAAATTATTTTCTGAAGACACCTGTTTATGTGTCTTCAATAGACAAGGGTTAAATCCATTTTTCTCAGAAAATAAATTCTTGCTTCTGTCTTTTCTTCTCAGCAATCACAACTTCTGCCCCTCCAGAAGAACAGTTAAACTTTCAGTCCAATCTACAGACTCCTCATGGAATGTGTTAAAATGATATTGTAACAGTCTCTGTGGAAGAGGTTATTGAAATTCGTGTTTTGTTGGGTTTCCTATGAAATGTAAGCTTCTTGAGAGCAGGAACTTCTATTTTTCTCCTGGGTCATAGTAGATGCTTAATAGAAACTTGTTGATCGATTGATTGATTAATTGATTAAAACTGTGTGTCTCATGACCCATAGGTTTTGGAAGAACAACATTTGTAAACCAATACAATAAGTGATAAATTGAAGCCTTATTGTATGAAACACTATTCTCAAGATTCACAATGAAAGAAAGTTCTAAATAGATAAGACTATATTGTCATGAATTTCTTCTGGCACTTCGGGTAACCAAGTCCCTTTTGAAAAGGGTGTTATCACAAAGTTAAGCTGTTGTTTCTACAGTATTTTACTTGTAATTTAAACTGAAGTTCACAAACTGATGAATGCATTGTATTGTGCAAATGCCTAAATAGAGTATTTTATCTTGAGTCGTCTTATATAGTATTATTGAAGTTAAAGCCACGGAGAAGTAATATAAATTAAGGGCCTGAAATCACCCAGGAAAGATTCATGATCCAAGTAGTCCCCTCAATCTGCTTCTGCAGCAATTCAGTACGACAAATTATTTGAAAGCCATCTACTTGCAGAAAGGAAAAAAAAAACCGACCTTGACATCACATATTTCATCAAGCATGGGTGGTATAATTGAGTAGAATACCCCATATCCATGTAGGAAAAAAAGTCCCCACAATTTAACATCAGTGAACATTAATCTCTAGCAAATGCAAACTGATCCAACCTTTTGTCAAAATCTTGTAGCCAAGCTGTCACATTTTACACAAATAAATACAGAAGACCTCTTAGCAAAAAGAAAAGGAGGAGGGAAGGGTGTGCGGTGGGGTTGCTGATTCTACGGTTTTGGAAGAGGTTTCCCGGTTAGAGGAGGGGCCAAAAAAAAAAAATCAATAGCGCAGGGGATGGATGTAAAAGGAGACACATCCAGTGAGCAGAAGCAACAGCTGACCTCCCAGAGAGAACCGCTAGCCCACCCTCTCCTACACAAAGACCGGGCATTGGGGAGAGAGACAGAGACCCACGACTGCAGCCCTGGCTTAATCCTCCCTTTAAGAAGAGAAACTAGAGCTTTGAACTTGTCTACTCCATATATCTACCTCCACTTACCCGCTTCCCTTGCACCTCCCCAACACGTTCTCAGAGAGAAGGTGGCTAGATGAGTAACTGAAGAGGGAGTTACAGTTCTTTGTCTAAGAAATGTGAAAGGCTGCAGAAGGATCCTGGGGTTTGCGAAAGCAACTGTGACTTGAGTAAAGGAGGACAAATTGCAAGGGAAAGGAGGACAGAAAGCTTGGAAGCAGGAGAAAGAGCACGAGGGACCGTGAAACCTCTTGCTCACAAAAGACTTGTACCTGAGGCAGCAGCCTACACCTGGTTACATTGTAGAGGGTGCGCAGCGTATGTGGGTGTGTCCCTCGGATTGTTCCTTGACCGTGCAGCCTCCCCAGACGCGATGAACCGGATGATCAGTATCCTTCTGGGCGCAATGCTGCTCTGGGGCCAGGGCGGCTTCTCTCGGAGGGTCGTCAGCGGTGAGTAAGGAGAAACCAAGAAAGGAGAACGGTTGGAAGGAGAGTCATACTAGTTTAAACTTCTTTTGCCTGATACATTTCTGGGAGAGAACGAAGGAGCCCTTGTTTGGGAACTTTGTTCTCCTTGGTAGCTTTTTTGGGTTACCGCCCAGAGATAAAATGTATACCTGTGGAATTGGAAGTGGAGCTTAGAGTGACAAGAGTTGAACAGTTTGTGCCTGTTAGCCTCCCTGACCCCTTCTCCACTACACACACACACACACACACACACACACACACACACACACACACACACACACACACATTCACTTACTTCAAACATTGCATGTATACCTAGAGATCAGCTTTACTAAACCACATCATTCACTTATCAGGAAAACTAATCTCAAGGAAATGAAGTAGCTTGTCTAAGTTTGCAAGGATCATAAGTGGCATAGGCTCTTCATGGACTAGTATGTTTCTAGACCATTCTGCTTTGGCAGATTGACTTGAAAAAGATGGAAAGATTGGGAAGATGGACAAATTATTCATTTCAGGGACAGGGCTTTTAGGGGGAGGGAGGGATAAGAAACACAGAGGATGGGAATGTTACTGAAAAGAATAACACCTGATGATCTTTGATTCTTCATGCTAAACACTGAAAAAGATTGATTAGACTTTCCCTTATGCTGTTTCTCTGTGGTTACAAAGGAGGCAGATTTCATTTGTGAAAAGCAAACAATGAAGAGGATGTCTTTTCATAAATGAGTCTACATGTCTCTACGGCATGGTCAGTTCTCCGTGTCTTTTCAAGGTGTGCCCAGGCGTACTTGTGAGTCCATGAATTGAAGATGAATCAGGCTCTTCAATGCTCAGCTATTTCCCCTTTGTCTCTTTCTGTCCCTTCCCACGTTGCTCTTCCATTTCTTGACAGTTTAAACCTTGTGTTATTCTGAGAGCTCTGCTTCATCTCCACCTTCTCTTTCCCCAACCCCCCACCATCATTTAGCTGCTGTCAGAACCTAGAAGACTAAAATACAGACAACGATTACGATGCAGCTCTGACTGTGGGTCTTTGCAGATAGGAAACTTCTTTTTAAGAGGAAAAACACACTCACACACATACATACGACATATAATGTAAAATGAAGGTTTTGAGATGTTGTTATTTAGTACAAGTTCTTGTTTCTGAAGTAAAAAAAAATAGTTTATGTTCCTTTCAGTATTCTGATAGTCTCAGAAATTCCTACATACCATTAACCAAAACATAGAGGAATTTCAAATCTTCCTTAGTGGGCAGAGCAATCACACTAGTAAAACTGTGGGTTCTTGAAATTGGTTCTTGAAATATTGAAGAAGTATTTACTTAAATATTTCAGTCTGACTTTCTTTTAAAAATAATATTATGATTGGTTTAGACTCTATTTTGTATATCATTTATTTTCCTTTCTCTTTCGTCGCTTCTGTCCTTCCCTCTCCTCCTTTTTCTGTAAGAAATAAACCTCTTGAGAGGGAGAATTGATTAACAATGCATAGAAGGACTGCAGGACAATAGGAAATCTCCGTGAGAAGCTCTTTAGAAACTGGATAGATTCTATTCTGTTTGTGTAGTTTATACCCAAAGTCAGGGAATGAAGTAGTCTCTTTTGAATCTTACTTAAGACACTGTACTAACTTTTGGTACTTGATTGGATGAATGTGTTGTAAGGGTAAAAAATGTGTTTGTTTGATTGGTAAGCCTTAGGTAGAAAGCCAATGAGTATGAGTTCTCTAATGAATCTTCAAAAGAAAAACTGCTTAATAGGTAAAACTTTTAATCTGGCTCATATACAAGAGTATTATATAACATAGTTAAAATCAATTTATTAAATCAAATTATATAGAATAATTCAAATCAATTTAAAAATGCTTATTAAGATAATCTGTTCTTTGGTGCAGGAGGCACATAAAAATGTATATATTTAGGGGGCAGAAAATTTCCAGTAGGGTCCAGTTGTTCCAAAACGGAGCAGTACTCTAGTGTCATTATGGTCTCGGTTATTATTTTAGAGGCATAGAAAATGCCACAAGAAACTAGTGGTTTAATCACCTCTAAAGTTAGGCCTTTATAAAGGACGAACAGGGTGTTAACTCCATCGCTACTAATAATAGCCGTAAAAACCTGCTGACTCTTCAAAACACACTTCTTAAAAATCTAGTTACTAATCAGCTTCCTCCAACATTTTAGTCTTTTTATAATGAGATTGAAATACACTTTGAAAGATAATTAAATTAATTTAGTTTTCTGTGTATCCCCTCACCTAAATTTTTGGGAAAGAAATCATAAGCTATTTATGAAATGAGTGTGTACTACACAAGGGTGTTCCTTGAAGTTGTAATTTAGGAATTATCCTAAATATTCTTTTCTAATTGAGAGCAGTTGAAATTTAGAGTCCTTTCTGAACATATGGAGATTTAAATATTTGATAGCTATCTCAGAGTCAAAAAAAAAATCTGTATTCAAATCTCTCCTCTACATCCACTCCTGGGCAAATCTTCAGTCTTCCAGGCAACTCCCAAAGACCTAAAGTTGCTAACATACATTAGTAGAGGAAGTTATTCAGTGATTGGTCTTTATATCAACTTCACAGGTCCAGTTAAAAAACAACAACAGGAATAACAAAACCCAAATGTTCAAGAGAACTTGAACATAGATTTTTCTTTTAATGGAAATACTTCATTGATTTTCATACTACCCTTTTAGCAGTTTTTCTTTTGTGTGTGTTGTGTGGCTTTAGAATTTCCAAAGGAGAAATGATTAAATTAAAAACAAAACATTATAAAACAATACTGAAAAAATTTTACTTTACATGCCACATTAAAATTATTACCAAAGATCTTTTGCATTATTTCCTTGTGGAACATTTATAGGCATCTTATGGGTAACATCTGGAAATCTAATTAATTGAGCATGAGATATTTGATTTAGCATAAATGATTATGTTTATTTAATGTTAAAATAATGACTAAGTAATGCATTTCTCCCATATAGTTTAATGGCCTTTGGCCATAAAATATTCAAATTGTAGCATAACCATTTGTGATAGCCAACACATATCTGTTGTATCCATTTTGGGATATTACTTTTTGTCAAAATATAGATAGCATCTTTTTCCAAAATAGCATTCATGAATTTAAGCAGTACTACATGATTTGGGAAAGTGAGAAGTAGGGGAAGCAGTATGTGATTCACTAGCTATGTGGATAAGATGCTCTGTTTGGATTGGGGGAGTGGGCAACCTTTTTCATGACACAAAGGTGCCATTTATTAATTTATTGCTCCCTACCTTAACTACTTGAAGCAGACTCTGTGGAGATATATTATTTTTTCAGTTGTTGTCAATTTATTTGGGGGCAAGTATGAAACATGATGTAAGGCTGGAAACTGTTAGGTTTCAACAAGGAAACTAACTGATGATCACTAACAGGAAAAACCAAATATTTGCAAAATTAAGGCACTAACAAAAGTGAAATGTTTTGAGATACTTTTATTTTAATAACTAAAATGAACCACACAACAATTTGAAGTAATTACAGTATGTTTTATTTATTTACTATGTTACAAAAATTGTTACCTTAAAAGCATAAACTTTTTATTAGAAATTATTTTCTAATAATTTTTATCATTTTAATGGAAAATAATCATTTAATTGAAAATAATCCCTTATCCTTGATTTAATAATTTGGCATTTGTATTATTTTTAAGGTTAATAGTATTTAATATTTTATATCTAATATTTTATTAATATATCAATATTAACATTTAAACATTTGATAGTATTTAATCATTCAGATGGGATCAGGTGTGCTCAGGGTGGTATGGGCTGTCTGACATAGTGGGTAGCAATTTGGGCCTGGAGTCAGGAAGCTCTGGGTTCAAGTTTTGCCTCTGATTTGTAGTAGCTGTGTGACCATAGACAAGTCACTTAAACTTTTAGTGTCCTAGAGATTCTCTAAACTCTCAAAGACTATAAGTAATGAATTAGTGGAAGGGTTTTTGCCCTGTGAACTCTTTATGCCAATGAAATCATAGATTTGGATAATATAAAGGAAATCAGTTATGATTGATTTTAATGTGCGAATAGCAAAGAAAAAATACATAAACATTTTTATTGCCAAAATGTATTCTATTACTTAGGTTGCTGATCTAGGGACTGTATAGATCTAGGAACCACATAAATCAAGAATTTATTTTCAAAAGTTTATAATCAAAGGCATCCTTTGGTTATAGAAACATATACATTAGCTACATAGGCAACAGTATGAAACCATTAAGTAAATGGGATATTAAGGTATTTATATCATACAAAAATATGAATTCTGGGAGAATCAATATTCTAGCTTTTCCTTTTTTATGTTTTAAATACATGTAGCTGTGACCTCCAACTTTAAAGAATTGAAGTACTCTATGTAAAGCCTCATTCTGCCAAAAACATGCTTTATTATGTATATTTAAAAAAATTAAGTGAATTAAAATTAATGTTGGTATTAAGAATTTGGACTACACATAGTGTAACTGAGTATACCCTAGGATTTTACAAAACCATGTTTGTTAACCCTAGGTCTGAGGACTGAAAAGCAGAACTGCTGACTCTGTTAATCTGTAATGTTATTCCATGACATCATCAAGAGCAAAAAGTGATGACAGTGCAGTTTCGAGAGATGCAATTTCTTTAAGTATGTCCCTGGCAAGAAAGGTCCAAATTTTATTAATGACTTAAAGTCATTTAACAGACTACACATTAATCACAGCCATTGTTTCTTAAATACTTCCCCCCCCTGCCATTGCATGGTTTGCTTTACAAAAATGTTTTTTGCTCCTTTTATATATTCTCATTTTAGAATTACTCAAATTACTTGATTATTTCTAAAGTCTCGTATTTAAAAATTCTTTAAGATATTTCTACATAAATTATCCATGACTTTGCAAAATTATAAATTCTACAGAATTTAAAAATCTATACAAAGTCAAAATAAGCTCT